TATCTTGTACTGCATAGTTCTTACTGAAATATTAGAAAAGATGCCCAAGAATAAAATGTACAAGTACTTGGCTTATATGATGAAATATAAACTATAGAGCAAAAAATTGGGGTCATTAGGATCCATCACCTTCATAGACATCATTATCATTAAAACCTATAAACTGCACGAACAATTAGATATTTTTTTGTCCTAGAGTTATTTATTTTCCTTGCCACTTATATGTACTCATATGGTTCGTGCGCTCTCACTAGCTCTCTCATTTACTGTGCTATGTTAATGAATTTTTCGTCCGTGTTTTTTTCTTCTACCTCTTTATTTGCAGGTGTATAAAATTTTCAGTAAATAATTGTATATGGTCGTTATTTCTGTACATGTTTTGTTCTTTATTTACTATTACTTTTACTTTCTTTAGCAATTTTGGAGATGCCAATTGAGAGGTATGATTTAAATTTTGAGAAAAATGAAGTGTTATTACAATGTTATATTATTCTGAAGAGCTATTACATTACGAAACTATTCATGAACTTACAAATAACTTCTCTAAGATAATATACCGTGTTTTATTTTCTTTTGGTGTTTGATTGTCTTGTGATTTTGTGATAACCGCTTTATGATCCAGGTTTAGATATTAGTTATTAGAAAATCACAAAGTCAGGACTTCTAAAGTAAGAAAACAAACATTTTATACAAAAAGAAGAAATAACGTTGTTCGTATGGTGTTGGCACCACAATGTCAGAAGAAAGAGTGCTCAAGATGCGAGACTCTTACTCAATTTTCATACAAGGTTAGTATGATGTATGTTAAAATTGTCTGTTTATCTACTTATTAATAAGGAACACAATGAAAGGACGAACACAACATATCCTAATTTGTACTAAAGGTAGTAGAAACTGTACAGTAAATTTGGCTTTCTTTTATTGGAGAATGAACAGGTGTCTCGCTTTAGGGAAGATGAGTATTATGAAAGTCAAAAAATGCAAAAAAGCTTTTCTGTTTGTGGGGGTTTAAGCGTAAAGAATAAATAAAGTGTTTCGTCCAATCCAAGACAAATAATTATATACATGAATAACAAATATATGACAACGAAATTAAAGGAAAATTTACTTTATTTAACAAGGATAATTAGTAATTTTGCCATTAAATTGAGGAGATTTTTAGAGGATGAACAAAGATAGATGGGTAATTTCGCTATACTTTTTGGATCTTTACATTTGTTGTCTATCCACTTTAGTTCTTTCCTTGTTTACTTCTCCTCCACATTTGCTCTCCCATGGTTGGGGAAGAGTATTAGTGATCCTGCTGCTCTTCATATTAAGCACAGAAGGTAATTCCTAATGCAGAGATAAAGAAAAGACCACCGTAATATTTACCTTTTCTTTTTAGTAGTGTCGAGAAGTGATAAAATACAGAATACAAAGACAAGTAGGAACTTACACTTCCAGAATTGTAGATCAAAACTATGATAAACTTGGAGACGTTTAGATTGCTAAAATAACTTATTAAATCATTATATAGTCTCTTTCTCCATAAGGTAATGAAAACTAGGAAAGAAATTAGAAAAGATATCAATATCATAAAGGCACAACGAAAGCAAAAGCTAAAATGTCTTCTGTATATAAAATATGAATAGTATGTGCATCAAATAAGATTTGAGAAAACCTTGAAGACAAATGCA